AATCCGGAAAAGTGGTTAGAATACCGAGATAGCTTCCAGGGTCTCATAGATGCTAATCTCGATTTAACGAATATTCAACGCATGTATTATCTCAAATCGTCTCTAAAGGGAAGGGCTGCCGAAGTCATACAATCTCTCGAGTCATCCGCTGAAAACTACACGATAGCCTGGAATCTTTTAACAAAAAGATTCGAGGATAAACGCGCAATAGCTAGCAGACATTTGCAACTGTTATTAGACATTCCCGTAATGCAGAAGGAATCGGGAACACAATTGAGACAGACCCTGGATAGCATTTTACGACACATTCGAGCGTTAGAATTCCTCAAGGTCAATACCTGGGATTCAGTAATTAATTATTTAATGATTGCGAAATTGGATGCATCAACACGCCGGGAGTGGCGGACTCACATTAAAGATAAGGACGACATCACGGTTGCCAGCTTGACCGACTTTCTCGAAGAAAGGTGCCTCATAGTTGAACCCGAAATTAGTAAGGCCGGTACGGATAAAACACAGTCGAACAAAAATACATCGCAGCAGAAACGGTCAGACAAATCAGCGTCATTCGCGAATACAACCAAAGAGAATCGAGACAGTCAAGAATGTAGTTTTTGCAACGAAGAATCGCATTCAATGTATTCTTGTAATAAATTTAAGGAATTGCCAGTCCAGCAAAGAGTAAGCGCGGTAAATGAGTGAAAGCTCTGTCGTAATTGTCTGCGACCAAACCATTTAGCGAGAGCATGTCATTCGTCCAATTGCAAACGGTGCAATGCTAGGCACAACACGTTATTACATCCGATCGAGCAGACCGAAGGTGCGACCAATACTGGTAAAACAGACGTTAAGGACTTAGGTTCCGGGAACGCGGAGAAACGTGATTCAAGCGTAAATTGTACGAGCGTCGATATCCCTGGGCAATCTAGGGTGTTGTTATCCACGGCTCGGGTATGGATTTACGATTCGTCTGGTAAGATGCACGAATGTCGATTATTGTTAGACTCTGCATCGCAATCGAATTTCTTAAGCAAGGCACTATGTGAACGACTACAATTGGCGACGCAGAAGTACAGTTGTTCAGTGGGGGGTTTAGCGTCCTCCATTAACGTCACAGAGTCCGCATCTACTGTGATTCAATCAAAGCGTACGGCGTATCATACGAAGATCAATTTCTTAATAATCGAGCGAATAATTGATAAGTTACCGTTGTCGGACATTGATGTTGCGCACTTACGCATACCGGATAATATCAGACTCGCCGATGACAGGTTTCATATGTCCGACAAAATTGACGGCATCTTGGGAGCCAGCATTTTCTGGAGTTTGTTATGCATCGGCCAAGTTCGGCTCGGCAGATTCCAGCCAACACTTCAAAAAACCCATCTTGGATGGATAGTGTCTGGAAGCGTCACCGACCAAGGGCAACCTAATACCTCTGTGTGTTGTTTCTCCTCCGAAGTGCAGCTTCGTGACGGGATCGAGGGATTCTGGAAGATTGAGGAAGTTGATAAGGCTCCAGTTGCGTCAAAGGATGACGAGGACTGTGAAACGCATTTCCGGGAGACACACCAACAAGACGATACAGGACGTTTCACGGTCAGCTTTCCATTCAAGGGTCATACAGATGAGTTAGGAGAATCGTACGACGGCGCTTTGAAGAGATTTTACAAATTAGAGCAACGTTTCAATAGAGATCCACGACTGAAGGAGGAGTACGTACGCTTCATGGAAGAATACATCACGCTCAATCATATGACGATTGTCAACGAAGGGCAAGACGAATCTTCAATCGCACATTACATTCCACATCACCCAGTCGTGACCACATACAATGACCAACGCAGACTTCGGGTGGTGTTTGATGCTTCTGCTAAAACCTCATCAGGAAAATCGCTAAATGACATTCTACTAGTGGGCCCCACCATACAACAGACTTTGTTCTCCATTATATTACGGTTTCGGCAACATCAACATGTTCTAACGGCGGACGTGATAAAAATGTATCGCCAAGTCAACATTACCGAAAGGCAAAGGAATTTACAGCGGATCTTATGGAGATCAAGCAGCGACGGGCCTGTCCAAGCATATACGCTAAATACGGTAACATACGGAATATCAGCGGCACCGTTCATGGCAATTAGAGCATTGCAACAGACAGCGCATAACGCACATGTGTCTCACCCAGACGCGGCTCGAGTGATCCTACGCGATTTTTACGTCGATGACCTTCT